AAGACTAGAGATAAAACCCATGACGGAGTGGAAGGTAGCATGGAATATGACTAACGACAGGTCTGGTTGCTGTCAGATAATCTTGAAAATGTCACTTTTGCTCTTGGCCTGTTTTCCCTGTCTGCACCATGCGACAGTTGGAATTTCCTGCATTCACATACTGCTGTCCTCCATAAAACCTCACAATGGCTTCATGTGTATTTAGGTTTGGAGTCAAGTGCCACATCTCTGTCTGCATGGTGGGTGACTCCTCAGGGGCTCCCAGGGTCCCCACCATCTGCTGCACACATCCCACCGCTGCCGCTGCAGTCCAAGCAGCCTGGCCGACCAGGGAGCTTGAACCCGAACAATCCCTCCCTTCACCGGAGTCCCGAGACACAGGCCGCACACTGCCCACCGCACACCGCCCACAGTCGCTGCCTTCTAAGCAGCCAGGCCTACCAGGAAGCCAGAACCCCAACAAAAGCCCCTCCCCCGGGAGCCCAAGACCCGTGATCGCCCATCGCCACCGTCGCCAACGCCGCCTTCCAAGCAGCCAGTTCAACCAGGGAGCCTGAACCCCAACAAACGACCCCCCCTGGGGACCCAAGAACCGGGCCCGCCCTCCGTCGCTGCCGCATCCGTCGTAGTCTAAGCAGCCAGGCCGACCAGGGAGCCTGAAACTCATCAAAAGCTACCACGCCCCCCAGGCCCAAGTCCCGGGCACCACCGCCGCCGCCGCCTCCTTCGTATTCCTAGCAACCAGTCCGACCAGTGGGCATGAACCCCAAAAAAGCCCCCCCCCCCGGGAACTGAGAACCGGGACTGGCCACCGTCGCCGCCGCCACCGTCCAAACAGCCAGGCCGATCAGGGAGCCTGAAACCCCAAAAAAGGCGCCCCCCGGGATCTGAGACACGGGACGCCCACCGTCCACCGCAGCCCGCCCACGGCCGCCGCCCAGCAAGCAGCCAGGCTGACCATGGATCCTGAACCCCTACAAAAGACGCGCCCCCTGGGACCGCTGACCCGGGCCCGCCCATCGTTGCCGCCGCCTCCATCCAAGCAGCCAGGACGATCAGGTAGACTGAATCCCAACCAAAGCCCCCCACCCCGAGGACACTAGACCCGGGCCGGCCCACCGCCGCCGCCTCCCAAGCCGCCAGGCCGACCAGGGAGCCTGAAACTCATCAAAAGCTACCACGCCCCCCAGGCCCAAGTCCCGGGCACCACCGCCGCCGCC